CTAAACACAGAGGGCTACAAGGGGAAAAAGCTGAGTTTTTTTATTTAAATCAGGAAAAAAAATCAAAAAAATCAAAAAAAATCAAAAAAATCAAAAAAATCAGAAAAATCAAAACAACTTAATGCAGATACAGTTCTATTTGCATCATTTTCAACTTAAATATGAAGTCATTCAATATATTTTCAAGAATTTACTCTGTTTTTATATGATAATAACTTTTTATAATAAAGAAATGTAATAAATTTGACTATGGAGAAAATTTTATACAGACATTAACATGTTTGTAATGCATGTATTTTCTCTTTGTTCATTGTCTTTGTTAAAACCCACAACCAATTGACTAACATAGAGAAAAATGGAATATCACGGATTCAAATATTTAACTGTTTATTTGGAACAAGAAACAGAACAATGTCGTTCGATCATAGGAGCTATTATCTGCAACAGCATCCAGGTTTCATATGCTAGCGACCTCATTCTGACTAGAAAAGCTTTGCATTAAAAACGTGATTGTTTGATATCGAGCCATTCGTATTATGTATTTCTTCCGTTTCGTTGTCGATATTCATATGGAATATATTGTCAATATGTTCAAAATTCTATAAACACATTTCATGATGCTTAAGAAGCCTTTTGTTAACACCAACCGTGTACCAGATGATATTTTTTCTTATCAGGATGAACAATTTTACGACTTCATTAAAAAACTTATTGGTCAGAAACAAGCAAATTTACTTGAATTTCAAGAAATCAGCAATGCTGATATTTATTTACACTGTTGTAATGTTCTCAATATTCTTAAACTAGATTCAACTGCTTTGATTCCATTTAAAGAATCACTTTGTCTCAAACTTGATGACAACAGTTATACAGTTCTCCCTGGTATTAAAAGCTCATTTTCATATTTGACTGAACTTTTGACAGAGAAAAAAGATGAAATCATCCGAACTGTACGACAAGACAGAAGCTGTCAAAGTTTGTCCACTTGCTCTACAACTGATACAGCGAATACCAGCAATAGTACAAGAGTGTCCAATTTATCTTCATCATGTTCAGTTTCCTAATGTTCACAATCGAATATTGCTTCACTAGATGTTTCTACATCCACTGATGCTCATACTAAACGCATTGTTTTAATGATAAACGAGTGGGTTGACAAAAACAAGAAGAAATACTTTAATGCAGGCTTCACTCTGGTCCAAGGCACAGACTATAATGTTACTGTTTCTGTGAATCCCGATAAAGCTTTTATTAGATGTGCTTGTGGTGTTAAAGCATCCTTAAAGTTGGTTGGTACAACTTACCAGGTAACAATACTGATA